TTGTCCCTTAAGACATTTCCCATCTATTTCAATCAAGAATAGTTGTAATGCCTATTTCGGGTACAATAAGCCTCCAGCTTCAATATAGGTGGGCTTAAATTCACCCTAATTAAGAAACACATTTATGCACATTCCAAAAATCTCCATACCCAGGAATATCTAAAACAAAACAAAAATAAAGGTGCAGTGTTTCTTAAAATTAAAAATTAACAGAGTCATAACTTTTTTAAATTCTTACATTTTTCTTGCAATAAAAGGTATAAAAATTTCAATAAAAATAGAAAACATCTGATTTATGATCTTAATAGGTGAACTATGCAAAAATTAACAAGTTGACCTAAATAGCATATAAGTTTTTGAACATATTTGGGTATTACTTGATAAATATAATAATGAATATCACCCAAAAATTGAACAATAACTTTTTGAGCACAAATCATTCGCCTTTTTTTCATCATGGTCTTTATGAGTAAAACTAGGATGAGGTTCTATCTCCGGTTCTACAATATTTGTTTGTAAATTGGCTTCACACATTTCGCTCACAACTCCTTTCATTTTTTTAACCGCAAATGTTTAAAATGTGGATCCATGTATCTCTAGAGTAATAATAGCAGGAAAAACATAAAATTTCTTGTTAGTTTTGTGAGAAAAATACTTACTTCTGCAATTAAAATTTAAATGAATCAGAAGTTACTGATTTTCTTAAGAACCTCTCTATAGTAAAATTAGTTAAATCTAACTTACACTTAATACAATTTACTCACCTACATTTGAAAAAAATATATTTGAAAATGAAAATAATATCAAGCTGACATATTTATAGCAACATAACCTAATTCATTTTCAAAGCCAGATTTACACCATCTAATAATATTTAAATTTAGCTTTAATTTAAAATTTATTAACGATTATCCCTGTATTTGATCACACATTATATTAAAGTGAAATTTCAAGGGGTAAATCAGTAAAATGATTGATTTCTTTGTCATTATTTTTGAAAACATATTTTTTTATGGGTGTAAAACGGGTTTGAATTTAGTGATAGCAGCGCGCTAAGCGCTTACGGTTCAACTACCAACAAGGAAACAAGTCCCGCCATTTATTCAAACCTTCTCTTTTTATTTTTCTATTTTCTGTACGCCATTGGCAAAGTTTATTTAACTGATTTTGTATCTTATGACACCAAAACCGTTTGCCGAATTTAGTAAAATTATACTGAATAATAAAAAACTTATAAGGCATTACTAATTTTTTAATTTTTCGGAAACGAGCAACATTTTACTCAAGCATGTTTCGTTTAATCGTCTCATTTTTAATCAGTTTTGTGAGCCATTCTTAATGAGAAACCCTGTATACACCTATTAAATTTGCTAAATAGTCATTAGTACAAGCTGTATAGTAGTTACCGGTGAATGTTTATTTTGATGAATGAGTGATTAGGTATCTAAAACAACTTTGTCGGACTTATGTGGGTCGGAGGTTAATGAAAATAGCGGTAATTTACAAAATAGATTTTGTTTGTATCTGATCGTAAATTAAAGAAAAAAATCTCGGCTTCATGCTGTCTAATAAATAATGGAATGTAAGCATATATTCCGTCGGGTTAAATGTCAGTATATTAATTAAATTGTACAAAGTCCCGCTATTATCATCAATTTTTTTTGTTTGGTAATTACAACACATGAAACTGAAGCTAGCGCTTAAAATTAACAGCTAATATGGCCGGCCGCCAGGGACGAACTACGTTAGAAGTCGTGTGGATAAAAGAATCAGAAAATTGAAAAATTATGAAAAATTCTGAGGAAGGAAAATAAGAAAATTTAAAGTTTTAAAAATTCTGTAACTTCGCAAATAATTCGCGAACTTGGTCAGCAACATGGTGAAAAAATTTCTTAGCCTCTGTAGAATACTCCTTTTAAAAATGAAGCTCTAAAATTTTTGCGGAAAGAAAATACGAAAATTTAAAGTTTCGAAAATTTTCTAACTTCGCAAATAATTCGCGAACTTGGTCAGAGACATGGTGAAAAAATGTATTAGTCTCTATAAGCATCTCATTCACAGGATCAAGCTTTAAAAATTTTGCGGAAAGAAAATACGAAAATTTAAAGTTTCGAAAATTTTCTAACTTCGCAAATAATTCGCGAACTTGATTCATATCTGAAAAAATTAATAGCTAATATGGCGGCCGCCAGGGACGAAATGCGTTAGGGCCCTCAGGGGTGCCATAACTGCCGAAGTGTTTGTAAAGACAAAAAAGTGATCGCGAATTCAATATGATATGGAGTGAAATTAATATTTACAGAGCAAAAACGGAAACCGACAGAGAAGAATTCTAAAATCAACTTTTTGTAAGCTGATAATAATAAGATACGTTTTTTGAATTGTGTATTTTATATACGCGGATTTTGAGCTTCATCTTGTGTAGAAAAAATCATAACTAAGGAGATCACAAAACGTAAATCTAATCAAACGCGTGAATTGTTTGCGAATTTATAGAATTTTCAAAACTTTGAACTTTTGGATTTTCTGCCCGCGAAATGTTTAGAGTTTCATACTGACAAGGAGATATCTATACAGACATAGATATTTGTTGACCATCCCGCTAATAAAGTTCGCGAATTATTTGCGAAGTTAGAAAATTTTCGAAACTTTAAATTTTCGTATTTTCTTTCCGCAGAATTTTTAGAGCTTCATCTTTGAAAGGAGTTTTCTACAGGAACTAAGGAATTTTTTCACCATGTCGCTGACCAAGTTCGCGAATTATTTGCGAAGTTAGAAAATTTTGGAAACTTTAAATTTTCGTATTTTCTTTCCGCAAAATTTTTAAAGCTTGATCCTGTGAATGAGATGCTTATAGAGACTAATAAATTTTTTCACCATATCGCTGACCAAGTTCGCGAATTATTTGCGAAGTTAGAAAATTTTCGAAACTTTAAATTTTCGTATTTTCTTTCCGCAAAATTTTTAGAGCTTCTTTTTTAAAAGGAGTATTCTACAGAGGCTAAGAAATTTTTTCACCATGTCGCTGACCAAGTTCGCGAATTATTTGCGAAGTTAGAAAATTTTGGAAACTTTAAATTTTCGTATTTTCTTTCCGCAAAATTTTTAAAGCTTGATCCTGTGAATGAGATGCTTATAGAGACTAATAAATTTTTTCACCATGTCGCTGACCAAGTTCGCGAATTATTTGCGAAGTTAGAAAATTTTCGAAACTTTAAATTTTCGTATTTTCTTTCCGCAAAATTTTTAGAGCTTCTTTTTTAAAAGGAGTATTCTACAGAGGCTAAGAAATTTTTTCACCATGTCGCTGACCAAGTTCGCGAATTATTTGCGAAGTTAGAAAATTTTGGAAACTTTAAATTTTCGTATTTTCTTTCCGCAAAATTTTTAAAGCTTGATCCTGTGAATGAGATGCTTATAGAGACTAATAAATTTTTTCACCATGTCTCTGACCAAGTTCGCGAATTATTTGCGAAGTTAGAAAATTTTCGAAACTTTAAATTTTCGTATTTTCTTTCCGCAAAATTTTTAGAGCTTCATTTTTAAAAGGAGTATTCTACAGAGGCTAAGAAATTTTTTTACCATGTCGCTGACCAAGTTCGCGAATTATTTGCGAAGTTAGAAAATTTTGGAAACTTTAAATTTTCGTATTTTCTTTCCGCAAAATTTTTAAAGCTTGATCCTGTGAATGAGATGCTTATAGAGACTAATAAATTTTTTCACCATGTCTCTGACCAAGTTCGCGAATTATTTGCGAAGTTACAGAATTTTTAAAACTTTAAATTTTCTTATTTTCTTTCCGCAGAATTTTTCATAATTATTCAATTTTCTGATTGTTTTATCTCACGACTTCTAAATAGTAAAAAAAAAATTGGTGAGGCCCTGACGGGACCCCTAACGTAGTTCGTCCCTGGCGGCCGGCCATATTAGCTGTTAATTTTAAGCGCTAGCTTCAGTTTCATATTACAACACTGAACATTTTTAACGAACAGAAATTTTGAAATACTAATTGTTTCCACACAAGTTTATTTATTTTGCAAAATTGTAAATAATATCGGTAAGAAAAATAAAACCAAAAATTCAACAAAACTGAAGCTGCCAAAACGTGTTGAGCTTAAAAGGAACGTGTACCGATATACAAAAAAATATGTTTTTATTAACAAATATTTTACTTAGAACGTATATTATTATTAAAAGAAACAAAAAGTTATTTAAGCTTAAATTGTGACTTAGAATTAAATGATTTCGTAAGCTTCCTAGACTCGATTTGAGATTTTATGAAACCATCTCGTTTTTCCTCTTCACACACTTCAGTGGCCTGAGTGTGACAGGGGAACTTAGGCAAATCTAAAAAGGGTGGGTCAGTTTCTTGACCAGATACAAAACCTATCTGTTTTCTACCAATAAATGATTTCTGTATAATCCTCCTCTTTAAAGGGGGTACGCGAAACTGGCTGACAGATGTTTAATTTTTGTTTTCTTTTCTAGAAGCAATTATTCTGCGGCATTCTAACTTGCGGATGTGCTCTCTGTTATTTGTCAGCATCGCTAGAAGCAAGTTCTCTGAGTGGCCAAAGAAGCCATTCCTCTTAAATCAGTCTGCATATATCTTGAATATGCAATCAATTTCCAGAAATGTCGTGGACCGTCAGTACACAATGGCTTATATTTGATATTGAACCATAATGGACCATATACTTTCATAAATGTAGCTAAGTGTATCAGATTTTTCGTGGGATGCTCCGATGCGACATATAACCGAAGGATTCTACTCGCCGTTGTCACCCGTCTTGAATGTACGACTGGTCCTGGTTTAATCCTCGCAAGGTCTTCGCTGCATTCTCCAGATGATACTGCATATCAATATTGCTGATCAGTACTCAACATATTTCTATCTAAATCAGGAATAGTATTACTTCCAATTATCGAGAATCTGATTAGAGGGAGGGTTTCACAAGCTTGAATTGATTTTCCAATGGCACTAGAGAAAGCTTTCGGACCTTGAGGATGCTACATCAATTGATCCTATGACCAGGCTTCTGGTAGTTCGCTGATCTATTACAAATTCTCTTTCTTGTGCTGGAATTTTCTTTGCTTTGGAACAATAGCAATCGTTGAGGTCTTTACATTTACAACTAGCAATATCAAAGAGAGTTTCCTCCCAGCTAAGTTTTAATTCTTTGAGTTTCTTTGTGTAGTTTTCAGATTGCTGTCTTATAAAGTTTGAGTTATATGGTTTGAGTAGAGTCCTATAGTCAGTATTCAATTTTTGTTATTTTCTCAGTAACTTTTTTAAATGTAATTGTTGGAACTGATGACTTCTTCCAGATGCCCACTATAGTGTTTGCAGTTTCTGTTGCTATTATTGAAGCTGGTGGATCTTTGCCTGCCATGATGCCTTTTTTCTCATTCCTGACAAACAGGTAGTGTAGGATGGCATCCGCATTCGTGGGAAGTCTCAGCTGGGACATCTCGGCAAGGGTTTCAAAGATAGGACAAAGGGTGGTTTTCCTGGTAGGAGTTTTTGCGCTTATTTTACTTTGTTTGGAAACTGAAACAAAAGAAACAATAATTATTATAACATTTTTAGCTATAGAAATTCAATTAACTTGAATAAAACAAAATAACGTGAAAAGTTACCAAAATATATTTGAAAGTCCAGAATAAATAAAAACATATATTTTTTTACTTAACTGGGGTACCTCCAAAAATGTTCCGAGAGCCTCCAATTTTTGAGTTTACACATAGGGCCGTATCGGATTTTTTTTGAGGGGGTTGGGGCACCTGAAAAGGTTGAGTTAAAAAAAATATTTTTTTTTGCAAAAAAACTTACTTTTATGAATGGCAACTTTTGCCACCCGGGCCATTATCAAATTCGAAAAAAAGTTTTTTTCGATCCTATCTATGATACATGTGACTGGTCATCTTAAGGAAAAGGAACCGAGAATAAAAATTAGAATTACAGTTTCTTTAATGAATGAATTATAAGAAATTTTTGTTCTGGTTTTTTTTTTTTTTTTTGATTAATCAGCGAATAATGTAAAAAGATCGATTCTATATTTATATAAATAACCCCTTTTAGGTCTAAGAAAAACTCAACCATTCACATAATAAATCTGTATGTTCTCACTCCCAGGATAACCAAATTGAAAAAAATCTAATTTATGATACGTAGGTCAACCACAGCGTACGATAAATATCAGAATCGAGGAACATAACAGAAGGAGATTAAAGATGCCGACGCCTTATCGAGATAGCGAGTTGTTAATCGACAAAAAAAATCGTACCAGAAGTGTGATGTAACTTTATATTATGCCAACGCGAGTACCTGATTAATTATTGCGGAGCGACACTGTTAAATTAAGAGTACTCGTCGCGATTATGTTTCGAGTTTGTTCGAATTGTGGAGACATTTGGGAAAGGTTTCCATAAAAAAAACTTATTGCTTGGACTATTATTCTACTTTGAAAAAAAAAAAATAATAATAGTAACGCATTTATACAATTACGAAAAACTTTAAATAACTTTAGAAAACGTGCATTAGGGGCCGTTCAAATATTACGTAAGCAGATTTATTACAATTATTTACCTCCCCCATCCCCCTTGTCAGCAAAAGTAAGCAAAGCTCTTACCCCCTCCCCTGCCCCCATGCTTACGTAAACATTTTTCAATTATAAATGTATTTTTTTTATATTATAATTATAATGTTATAATTATAATTTTAACAAGCATTAGAAATTACAAATTAAAAAAAACCGACTTCAAAAACGTGCAGATGCCATCACCACATCTTAACCAAATTTATATGGGACCGCCTCTGAGGTACCCCCTTACTAACAAAAAAAGAATCATTGGACACCGTGTTAAAGAATTATCGCTGAACATACATAAAAAAAAATATTGCGAATACTAAGGTCATATTGTATTTTTCTTTCAGTATTATCGTTGACTTTCCGGACACCCTGTAAATCTTATAATATTTATCATATATCGCACTCCTGATTCAGAAGTAACATAAGTAAAAAAAACTATAATATAGATTTACAGCTTCATATGATAAGATTTTTTTATAAAACAAATTATTAAGGTTATTCCTATCAATCCTCAAAATTTTGACTTATTGTTTTAAGTAATAATTTAATTTGTAATTGTTCGTTTAAAAACTAATAACTTTAGAAATGACACAACTCAAACTCGGACACTTCCACGCGTACACACTTAACCGAATTTAAGCGATGACTGACTAAATACTAAATATGTCGATTCGAAAGATTCATACTGATGCGAATTTTGACATTTAAAAAGTGACACTTCCGCCATCTACAGGAAAGTCTTGGAAGTTTAGATGTGTCGTTTCTCCAGTGTATGAGAATTAACTTGTTCCTTTCAAAATTGAATTTTTTGAGTTATGCCACTTCTGAAGCGGGATTGCGACATAGTTAAATTTTCCAGTACTATTATAGTTGTCCAAACCAGTGGCGTACCCAGATATGGATCTTTGGGGGGTGGAGATAACAAAATTGAACTTTGAATAAATTTTTATTGTAAATTTGAATATTCTATTTTATATAACAAAATCTAGTCGCCTAGTCCAGTGGCTGATACCATATTACATAAATGATCGATAAATTATATCATTGACGATGATACAAGCAGAAAACTCGTTTTTAAAGTGCCGCGGAAACAATTTAGAGAAATTTAATTTTTTATTTAGTAAGTTACTTCTAACACATGTATGATTGTATTTGATTTAATAATTAATTTAAACCGATTTATAGGTCTCTTACTCTTATTTTTTCTTATGATCACTTATAAATTTGATGATGTGTTTGAGTTGGCGGACGTGCTGGGTCTTTAACCTGTTGCCTAAACCGCTCGACTAAGCTATTTAGGGAGGGTTCTACAAAGAATGCTGTAAACTCAGTTTAGCTAAGAGGAGTTAAATCCTTATTATGCACGGTGGGTGGATAATTGAGCTATGTAAGCGTTGCAAGATGTAAGCTACCTTTACCGTCAGTTATGAACAAACCAGCTACTTAAAAATCCCATTTATATACAAAAACCAATGCAAATACAAGGATTAAAGTCAAAAATTATTTTAAACCTTCTTCTTGGAGTTGGAACCTAGTTAAGGAACTAACTTCTCAGCTTTTTTCATAACATTCACCTTTACGTTCCGATATTTCTTCATATCCAAGAAGAAGTTAGAAATATTCCCAACTTTAAAACAATTCTGTTGTATTATATTCTATTGCACCATGACATTTTAAAGTAAAATTGATATTGACGGTGTAACCATCATATATTGGCATTGCTTTATCACTAGCAGAAAAAATTCATAAACAATTTTGTTGACACTATATTTGACATATCTGTTGTCTGCTATCGATATTTGATGCGCAGTTAAAGAATGCATTGACCGCTTAGACAGAAACGTCTTCGGCAATTTACAAAATCAGCCGATACTCTTAAATCAGAACAACTGGAAACGTTCAATGAGAAACTATATTATTAACCATTCCCATGCACGAGTTAAGTATTGTTATTAACAAATTATTCATTTATGGTAATTTCCTTTTTCACCTGGTTTTGTTTTGAGCATCGGCATCGTCTTGGTAACCGATTTAAGGATGTAACGTAAATTTGCAAGAACGACAACTAAAACTAAGCAGAATATTATATCAACAGTTGTAATTACATTTTTTTCTAATTAACATAAAGTAATATTTATAAGTAGTATCTTGTTTGCTTGCTTCGCCAATAATGTGGAATTCTATGGAGCTTATATTTATTGTATTTATCGAATATGAAAGCGTGTACGTAGTAATAAATATCATTGTTTGTTTAAAGAACGTTACATGGCACAGTCATTAGGATTTAGACATTTCTAAAATAACCTTACCTCGGTATATGATCTCAATTTTGTTATTACTGTCTTAAAATAAATTGACAATTGTTTTTAACTTCAAATGTATTTTTACTTTCTGAAGATAATTTTGGTCAAAATAAAAAGAACACAATATCTAAAAAAAAGTTTTTTATTTAAATTGTTTTTTTTTTGTTTCAGGTATGTTGAACTTCTAACCATTTTCATTAATTAATTTGATTATCGGTAAGTTAATTAACTATAAAAATGTACTCACTTTAGTAGAAATTATCTTGGTTTTGTTCATCACTCAAAATATTTCTTCTTTTTTATTTATTACCTAAAATTGAATTTAAGTTATTTTAGTATAAGACTACGACACAAAAATATTTTAATGTTTATAGTTGAAAAACGTTCTTTACTTGAAATCAAATTATGTTTCTAAAATTTTATGTTCTGAAATTACACAAATAACTTGTTTTAAAATAATTTTTAATATGACATAGAAGGCGCTTTTGTGGGTTATAAAAAAATACATTGCAGTTTGTAATTATGGATAAACTCCTCCTGTATCATTGTTATAATTTTGGAAACCCATTAAACATGAGTTATATGTAACCGCCTTGGTCGCATTTATATAGGGTGTCTGACGTAAGGATGCAGTGCATGGATTTTTGATTCATGGCTGTAGAGGTTTTATTTATCGACATAATGAAAAATTTTTGTTTGTTTCGTTAGTACCTAAAATTCAAATTGGTAAAAAAACAACATTTCGTTGTTGCGGAACATCAAAATTGATTATTTGAGTTTTTTAGGTAAAAAGTTTTTATAAATAAGTAGTAATAAGCTTTTAAATTATTTTTGAAGTTTTTTTGAAAATTTTTTTGTTTTTGTTTTTTAGTTTTTTTTTTGTAGGAAATTATCAGATTTGCTTGTTTATAAAAATTATTTAAACATGTAAAATAGTTATTTCTGTAAAGTGCTATTTTTTTAAAGAATGTGAATTGTGTCCTCACATTAACAATCGCATGTGTCAAAAGAAGCCTTTACACACGAACATAATTTATTTGTCTTAGAAAAAAATAGCATAAATGGTCATTTAAATTAAACAGTTTTATTTTGTTGCTATATACAATTTTTGACATATTTTATTTTAAGCACTAGTGATAAGAAAAATAGGCATCCTTAATTAACTATGGTTAATTCTTGTTCTACAATACAGGGTGAGATAAATTATCCATTTTCTCTAATTTGATCGTTTATTCAATGTTTTATTCCTATTAAATGAAAAATAATTTATAGAAAGATCAATTTTATTAAATTTTCTACGGTTTTTTTTTTAAAGAAAGAAACTTAAACTAAGTGTCAAATGGATGCATGTTTTTTTAAACTAACATCCGTCTGTATTAAACATTTTAAATATTTACATACGTGTAAATCCTCGAAGATAAAAATGTCAACGTCAATTCAGAGAAAATGTAAAGTTTTTAGTGTGATTAGTAAAATTTAAATAAATGAAAATATGTAAAAAATGTCAGTTTATCAAGATTAATAGTATATTACGTAACAAGAGTTGTAACAATATTAGTTTAACGCCCTGTAACTTTGTTGGGAGACAGTTTTTGATATAGGTAAATATAGCCAAATCCACTTATTTTTTGGTAATCTATCTGAGGAAGAATTTATGACATACCTTTTTGAAACACCCTGTATAATGTTAACAATCCTAAAAAAAATACTTAAATATGAAGAATATTGTAGACTGTTAATCAAAACTCCAAGTAACAATAAACAAGTTCACTTTCAATTGCAAATTAGAATTGTCGTTCAACACAAATTTAATTTTTGTAAATTGAGCGTACCGTTCAGCAAGCTGATTCTGCTACCCCAATCACACCAAGAATTCGATACACTCAGCTATAGTTTCATCCTTCCTTTGTACTACCATATTTTTTATTTTATTATATATTTTTAAATAAAATCGTAGGATAGTGGCTAATA